CCCTAGGCAACTAGAAATAAGCCACACGTGCATCTGTTCGGTAAAACCTGGTGTAATGACTGCCATCAGTCTTACCCTGCCGCAGAATCAGTGTAAAGTAAGAAAAATCTTTGTTTCCTTACACGAAACGTTTCTGTCGTGCAAATCCGGTATCAGTATTTCATACGCGACATTTACTGATGATACCGGAAAACTGTCATTCACGGTAGTTACCCCAGACCATCGTGGCTATATCTGATTTTATTTAGATTGTGGTGTATGCTCCTGAATTACGTGAGAAAGCAATGATTGAGCGTATATCCCAAAACACTACTACGCCGGTTTACTTACTATGACGTATATGAGAATTTGGAAAAGTTTCAGTAGTAGAAACGTGCCAAAATAACTATTCTTGCAATACCGGAAATGACTTATAAAATAATTTAATAATACATAAGGTTAGGCAAAACGCCGCTTGTAGCTTGGGACTGTTAGGTAAAACACCCTGTTAGCATAACGTAAACATGAATTTTATCCTTTTTACTTTGTTAATATTGCTATACATCATGTTTAACGTGTCATTAGCTTCACAGCTGATTTGATTAGAATATGTTTGACTAATTTATGTTTTAGATGGAATCTTTCATGTGAATTTTGGAGGATATGAATCAGCCAAAGTCAGTTGTCTTTTACCTAAATCCACTGCGAACAGTTGCGGCAGCTTGACGAGGGAGGCAGCGGCGGCGATCGACTCGTCGTCGTCGTCCCTCATCTCGTCGTTGTGTACCAGAATGTCTGACTGCACACCGTCTGGAAGCATCATGTTATGCCGTTGTGCAAACTCTTCGGGGGAAAGTTGTAAAAAATTGTTCTGAATGTATTTCTGAATGAGCATAGCATACGCATTGTCCGACTCTCTGGCAGATGCGTCGTCGCCTGACTCATCGCCTGACTCTGAACTGTACGGTGAACTGCTGACGTTCCCCTGATGGTCCTCGTCACACGACATCTCGGTTTCGTCCGACGTTGAGCTGCTGCGTTTGGATTCACTAACCGCCGTGGCCCCGGCTCCCGTGGATGTCGGCTGGGTGACGTTCATCCCTGCCGGTGCTTGCAGCTCCACCGTAGCTACTCCACTGTTCTTCGCGTTACTAGAAGGAGGCTCACGTTCAGGCAGGTCCTAAAGAGCTGCTCGAATCAGAAACTCGCAAGATGTCAACGTCACACATTCTGTGCAATAATCCTCAAACAATGTATGAGATGCATTTTAAACAGGGTTCACCCATAATTGAAAAACAGAATAAAAACAAATTATTTTATACAGAACAAGAAACGTGGTCAGCTGATTGATTATCAGATACCGAGATTTCGGTCTGGATCTCATAGGACTCTTCAACTTTGAAGGTGCATTTGGAGCCGAGGCCTCTCTATCGTTTGATTGGCCATCTTTTGCGAGTTTTTATACTATTTTCTTTACTCTTATCACCAACGAACGAAAGAACAAAACACTTCACCTTCGACAGTGTTTCATACAGACCCTGATTCTACTTGTCGGTCCAATTCCTCCAAGCAGAATACCGCATTTTGAATATGTGCACATTGTATGTATGAATGGTCATTTTCGTGTGTATATTATTTTCAAAAGTAGATTTGCCATATTGCTTTGCTGAAAAGAGAATAGACGATCTGTTCAAGAAGTAAACTATTAATCAACAATAATAATAATACCAAAATGAACGGCATTAACATAGGCTATGTAACTGATTTACTAACATACGGAACAACATCTAAAGCACCCCGTTCCGTCGCACTGAGGGATTTTAGATTCATCAAGACAGTACTGACCGAACTTCCACCACTCATACCATATATTAAGCGATATATGGGTAAGAAACAAAAATCTTTATGTAAAATGGAAAAGAAAACGTCTGATGTAGAAATGCTTGAACATTGAAACGAAAGGAACTTGAAATGTGGCATAATGTAAAGTGATGAGAGCCACAAATTCATAACTGCAGATATGGTATGGTACAACTGTATTTATAGCTTGTAGCTGATACTGAAAAGTAAAATCGCGAATATAATACATATCATCATCATCAGCTAATTTTGATTAACCACAGGGTAAACAGCCTTCCAAGATTTTGAAATAAACTAGCATTTTCTGCGATTTTTATCTATTTTATCGATATGTAACTGATTGCACGACCATCCCAAAAATACCAAACACAAACTGAGAGAAAATACTGTGCTATAAAAAGCATCGCGCTAAAATAAAGTAGTTCCTAAATAATGAAGTTTTAGATACATTAGCAGATATACTGGGAGATATATAAACACTTGGATCACGTGGACGCATAGCCCAACAGGCACTGTGCAGAAATATTTTAAAGGTGGAGAGTGCGACAACTCAGTTTGCTGCTCTGACTAAGAAAACACTGTGTAACCGGTGACTCGGCAAAATGCAATCTCAAATCATTTAAACCAAACCACTAAGGTTTGAGACCAGTTCTCAAGTTAAGCATGTTCATAGTTCTCTGAAATCAGCTGCTGCTGATACAGAGAAAACGAAGGAAACAACAGATGTAAAAATGCAAACTGCACGCGTAAACAAGAATCCTAGCAATTATAAGCGCATTTAGCTGTCTCTGACCGCAGTGTTGCACGAAAACCCATCAATCCACAGCATTGATTTATTACATACTTTATATGCTCGTGTCAAAAAGTACTCTACTTTACGGGTGCTTGGTACTTGCACCTCTAAACCTATATTGAATGTTTTCTTACTACCTGGGCACAATTTGTTTCTGTTAAGTAGTAACTGTGCAGTGAGTAACTATAGTTCCAATGTTCAGTCCACTTTACCTAAATTTATAATGTCCCTTAAAACGCATTTGGCTAATGTCACGTGTGTATGAACTCAACCTCCTCTATAAACCTACTGTGCAATATCTGACGGGATTCTTATGGCTTCTCTAAAGATCTTATATACAATGGCAGGTTACATGTCAAAACTTCTGCCAAGCGCACAGTGAATGCTCAATGTCCATTTCAACGTGCTTGTGCAAAGTCCTAACTGTTTTTCATATACTCAATTTCTTATGTTTTACTTAAATATTAATATCTGCTCACCACTGACACTGCAAAATTTCTAATAAATCTACCGTGTACTAATTTTGTTCAATTGTTTATTAAATCTATTAAGCATAATATATGTTGTAGATTAAAGTTATACTTCCAAACTGCAATGCGTACTTACAGTAGCTCCTCCTACATACCGTTCGATAAGAATTTGTATGTGAATGAATGATATAATTTTTGCATCAAATCATTGATCATTTCGTCAACAAAACAACAATAGCTGAATATACTGATGCAGACCGCAAAGTGGCAAATCTCAGGAACATTAATGAAACAAATTTACGTG